GTCTGTCGTCTGTGTAGCAGCCATTTCGATATGTAAAGCCCTTGGTATCATCAACTACCGCGACTTCAACAGCGACGAGGCAAAGAAGTGTAGGTCCAATCTACCATCGGCAATACGAGAAAATGCTAACATCGCCAGGGTTCCCTATCTCCGTCCTCCTCATCGGCATGATCTATACTAGTACCTGGGCGCTCAAGTACCTTTCGATTCCCGTCTACACCATTTTCAAGAACCTGACCATCATCCTGATCGCATACGGAGAGGTGCTCTGGTTCGGTGGTGCTGTTACACCAATGGCGCTCTTCTCCTTCGGGCTGATGGTCCTCAGTTCCGTCATTGCGGCCTGGGCAGACATCCAGCACGCTTTGTCGAGCATGGGTCACGCTGCAGAGAAGACCACTGAGGCCATGTCGACTCTGCACGCCGGATACCTCTGGATGATGTTCAACTGCTTTTGCTCGGCAACCTACGTTCTGTGCATGCGCAAGCGCATCAAGCTCACCAACTTCAAGGACTTTGACAGTAAGCTTATCGAACACCGAAACCAAATGCAGCAATTGCTAATTTCGAACAGCCATGTACTACAACAACCTCCTCACCATCCCGATCCTGCTCGTCGCCTCCATCCTCGTCGAAGACTGGTCCTCCGCCAACGTCGCAAAGAACTTCCCCGTCGAACAGCGCAACACCGTCATCATGGTCATGATCATCTCCGGTCTTTCCACCGTCTTCATCTCCTACACATCCGCCTGGGCCGTTCGTGTCACCTCCTCGACAACCTACTCCATGGTCGGTGCTCTGAACAAGCTCCCCATCGCGCTCAGCGGTCTCGTATTCTTCGATGCGCCCGTCACCTTCGGCAGCTGCTCCGCCATCTTCGTTGGTTTCGTCAGTGGTCTCGTCTACGCCCTCGCCAAGGTCCGCCAAAACAGCAAGCCCAAGACCGTCCTTCCTACAACCAACATCCCGCTCAGCGCTAGCAGCCGCAGCATGCAGGACAGCCTGAAGTCATAGGAGAGTAGTCGTAGGCCAAATTTTTCAACGACAACAACGGGCATGAAGGCAAATGACTCTCGTTCCTGTGTTTCTCATGGCATTGTCGCGTTGTATTGTATACGAACGAATGTCCCTTTTTTTCACTTCGCCTTTGGGTCCCTAGGGAGGTTCTCTTTCTCAAGGTCAACTTTTTGTACCTCTCATGCCTTGGAGCATCTTACCCATACTATTCAGAGTCTTAGAACGAGTTTGGCGTTTTCGGATCGAAGCAGTGCGGATCCTGCGGTCCGGCTGGGGTGGTGGAGTATGTGGAGCGAATGGATGTACTAGCATTTTGTTCAACTACCTTTTATACTTTCGAGTTGTCTTTAATCCTCCGCTGTTGTTTCCTCTCCCTCCAAGATTATTTCAAGCGAAACAGACCCTTGTTTTTACACATCTCGTACTCTTCCTCCACCCCCAATCTCGATCTTAACATCTACCTCCCCCCTCTCATTCAACACAAACCTTCCTTGCTCCACAATATGACTAACAAGAGCGCACCCGGGTTCCAGCCACGCGCCCCTCATCTTGACATACACCATAGTCCCGTCATTCCAATTCGACTGCGGCAAAATCTGCTTGACAACATCGCGAACCGGCATATCTCCCGCTACATTCACCCTTAGGGTTTCATTCCCATCCCTACTTCTCATCTGCACACGCAGACGCGTAAGCATGGGTGGTAAGATGAGTATCTCATCTTTACCCAATTTCTGCGCCGCCCTGGGCGTGACTCTGGCGTGGAAAGGGCGGAATAGGGCATATGTGTTCATCGAGGGGGATGGAGACCGGGGACGAGGTTGGTCTCGAGGAATGATCCGGCGGCCGATCTCGGGTGGGACGCTATCGCGGAGCGTGCCGGACGGGGACACGTAGTATGGGCGTATCTCGTCTGGGGTGTCATGTTCAGAGGGGCTGGGGGAGATGTCGGAGTAGTGTGAGGGGCGCCTGGAAAAACGGCCTTGCCGGGGTTGAGGGGAGCGGTACTGTGGTTGGGGATGTTGACGCGGCGTATGGCGGTGTTGGCGAGGTGCGTCGTATGTATGTTGAGGGTGGTAAGCAGTCTGGTTTGGGGCTGAATAGCTTGGGTAGACGTATGTAGAGGGCATGGGGGTGCGGCGAGAGTAGTCGCGGCTGAAGGGAGATCCAAACATGGCGACGATGGGTAGTTGTGGAGGGATGGTAATGATAGATTGTGATAGTTTGGAGATGAAGAAGATTGAATGTTTAATGGGAGAAATGTTATGCTGACATTGGTATACCCTGTAGTTGCCTTGCAAGCATACAGCTTCCCTTCGCGTCATGTGTGGTTTGAGAGACGGGAGTATACATTCGTGTGACCAAACTCGGAATCGAGATACTCGTGATTGTCGCGCAAGCCGAATCCGCAAACACCACAGAGCGTGTCTGAGCATCATTCAACACACATGCACACGTGCTATGCGCGTTTGAGCATTGCGCTTCGCTTCTGTTGAACCAGAGGAGGTAGCTATGCGATATGCACCAACGCGTCTTGGGTGCACATCGTGTACCGTTCGATCGGAGAATGCGATGGGCTTTTCTTGTCGCTCACTGGCATCAATTGAGTGTTGCTACATACCGCAAAGGACAAATGAAATCCATGACCTCAACACCGATCCTCTCGCGCCTGACTAAAGAGAGTTAACACCGTATCCTAACATCCTGTACTTCAGCAGAAAGATGAGCTGTCCCCGTCAAGAGGACGGCAGAATGTGTAGTAAAGCCAAACAAAGAGCGTGCTTATCCATACATGTGACAGACGTTTGACCGCTTGTTAGGCCATAGTTGGCTTGCGAAATGGTCCGTCTTGCCACGATGATGGCGCGTGCGCGTACTGCCCAGAGAACCAGCCACCTATACCTCGCCGACCTTTGCGGCGCCGCCCTTCTTCTTCTGCTCCACCTTGAGTAGCAATGCGCGGTTGATGTGCGGCAAAACACCTCCGAAAGCAATGGTAGCGCGGATGAGTGTGTCGAGTTCCTCGTCACCTCTGATGGCTAGCTGGAGATGGCGTGGCGTGATGCGCTTGACCTTCAAGTCCTTGGCAGCGTTGCCTGCGAGTTCGAGAACTTCGGCGGTCAAGTATTCGAGAACGGCGGTCAGGTAGATGCTGGCTTTGGCGCCGATGCGCGTCTTCTGTCGCGTGAGGTTTCGGAGATGGCGCTTTATGCGACCGCAAGGGAACTGTAGTGAAGATGGCACGTTAGCGCGTGGTTTCTTTGTGCTGCACGCGAAGCATTGCGCGGGGTGCAATGGTGATGACGCGTATTGGGCAGCTACTCACTTGAAGGCCGGCTTTGGCGGAGTGCGACTTGGGAGTCTTGACTTGCGCATCGCCCTTTCCTCCTGTCTTGCCACCTGTCTTTCCTGCGCATCCTGTTAGCTCTCGAGGCCTTTCGGAGCGCGACGCAAAGTCAGCGCGTACCTTTACCACCGCCAGCCATCTCGGGTGATTTATTTGGGCTAAATGTCGGTGTCGATGGAATCAATAAAGATGCGCGACCGTGATGCCGGGGGTTCGAAGCGGATTCGAGGTGGTGGTGTTTGGCGAGAGGTGGGGTGAATGTGGTCAGGTCTTGCTGGGAAGAGGTTCTACTGTTGTGACAAGGTTACGTTCTTGTACCAATCGGGAAGGCTCCACTTGGCATGTACAAGGTAAGGCACCAGTCAAGTCGCCAACCGTGCGACGGCGTGCATGAAGATCGTCGGTAATACTGTGAGATACTAGTTACCCTGATCTAATGTTTTTGTCGAATTTTGGATGCCTCATGGAATGCTGGACGGTAAGGTGGTGGGGGCGGGTGCACCATACGTAGCTTTGTCGTTGCCACCCAACGAGGGTGCCGAGGAATAGTTGCCGGGTATGATGTCTGAGTGACTGATGCTTGAACCTAAGAGTGAGACATGATGGAAATAGAACATTTCACCGTTCTCGGCCGCCTAGTCAACGGTCGTGCGCTCAGGCAAAGCGGCGGCTTTTCGACTACAAGATCCGGAAGTTCCAGTACATAGGATCATTTCGGACGTGAAGGACTGCCCAGAAAACTTTGAACCTGTGATAACCGTCAGTAAAATGTCCGAAAATCTGAAGTGTGATTAGGGAGCACGGCGCCATGCGGGGCGGCAGTGATTCGTTACGGACCTGAGATAACCATCCAACGGACTGACTAGAGTGTACACGATTCGCTTGAATATTTGAGAAGGATGATCTGGCAGGCGACACGGGCTTGGTCGACTGGCAGCAAGTGGTGTTGCCAACAGGATAGGGAGGTAGTGACGTAGCAAGAGTGAAGACGGAGAAGATGACGGTTGACAAGACAAGACGGAGGAATTACTCACAGTAGAGATATCATAATCCAGGTCAATACCCAGTGGCTGCTCGTCAGTACTGATGGTGAGTTTGATGGGAATATGAGCTCATCGCTTGTACGTATGGCTTCCAAGGTTGGAAGCGATATGAAATTCCAGCCCACACCTGCGCGAAGGCTGTAAGTCTGAGTCCAATCCCAAGCTACTGTGGTCGGTATGGGTAAGCTTGAGATAGTTTCAAGTGTGCACCGCAAAAGTGGTTGGAGTAGCAAAGTGATGAACCGATGCTCACTGCTCCCGCATCCAGTCGTGGTGGTCCGTGCGTCAAGGTCCCGCCCTAGCGCTACGTCTGCATGGCTCCCTCCCCTGTGCGACAACATGTGTAGATGCTGCCGCAGCCGTGACGAGACCAGCTACTGCGCGTGCGCATAATCCCCACTGCCCGTCTTTTTACAGCCTCAATCACTATCCGCGTCTCTGCCTGTGTCCGGTGCCCCAGGGTCCGAGCTCTGGAGCCAGATTCCGACACGTCGACCGCGCTGTTGCCGACCCCCGACGCCGCATGCCAACCCGCACTGCACGCTCTCTACGCACCAACGATCGCCGCGACGACGCTCTAGCATACCTCTGTCATGGCCTGGCAGTCGCCCTCGGCCATGAACGGCGGCGGTGCCAACGGAGGGGGTGACGGCAATGCGCCCGCCGGCACAGAGTACACATTGCAGGGTATGCGCTTCCCCTGGACATGCCGTAGAGCTGGCGGGGAGACTGGCAGGCTGACCCCCTCACAGGTGTGATGCGATTTCTGCAGCTAGAATGGCACAACCACGAGCGTGCACGGAATGCCTGGGACATCGAGCGCGCCGAGATGAAGGCCAAGATTGCAAAACAGGAGGGCGAGGTGCGGAGTGCGAAGAAGCTCAACGACCAGCTGAACAAGCACATTCGCATGCTGGAACAGGCCCTCACCAACGAGAGGAAGAAGAAGAGCGAGGCAGCAGGAGGTGACGCCGAGGCCACAACAGAGGACAAGAATGACCCCAAGGGAAAGAAGAGTGGCAGGAACTCGACGAAGCGTGCGTATACTTTATGCCAGATCACATTTCGGACGCTTACTAACCTGGCGAAGCTCAAAACAAGAAACACAACTCCTTCCTCGACGTGGATTCAGAGTTCCTCGACCGTGCAGAGGCCGACCGCGAGAATCTACGAGAGAAGTCGAAGCTCTACCTCACGAAATGCGTTGAAGAGATAACATATCTTCTTACACCACCCCCGCAAGCCCCGCAACAACAGCAGAACATGCAGCCCCTCGCAAACGGCAACGGCTACATGAACCATGGCGAGGCCTCGATGGAAGACATCTACCTCCAGCAACATCGCCAGAGGCTGCAGTCGCAACTTCCAACCATGCCAGGCACATCTATGCCTACCCACCAGCCTCCCAACGTACCAGTCCCCTCCGAATTACAGAGCTTGGCCAACCAGCATCAAATCCACCATGCACCGCAGATGGCACGAGAACCCTCACAGCAACAACCACTTCCGTCCAACGCTGCCATGGCTCAAGAGCTTCTCGCTGGACACCAACGCCAGGTCCAGAACCAGCAGCACTTTTCCTCAGTGCCCGAAGAGCAGGTTGAAAAGGTCACTCATGCTTTCGACAACGAAGGCCGCCAAATACCGATACGTGGAGATGACGCGTCGGATGCAAGCCAGGCTGCCAACCAAGACAAGGATACAGATGATTGGATCTTCGACCCTGCATCGGAGACAGCTCAGGATGGCCCACCAAGGCGGCCAGACACCGAGGAGTTTCCATCAGCGGATAGCATCCCAGCAAAATCACCACCACGACCAGTCAAGAGGGCCAGCAAAGACCATGTTAGGCGATTGAGCAACGACCAGAAAGCACAGCAAGCCGTAGCTCAGTCAGCAGCAAAGAACGACCCGCAAAGTTTCAAAGTTCGATTCGCACTCCGTGGTCACCTTGATGTCGTGCGGTCAGTTATTTTCACCGGGGGTGGCAGTCCCAGTGAACCCGAGATCTGTACCGCAGGAGACGATGGCATGATCAAGAGATGGATGATTCCCGCAAGTTACGCAAACCAGCACAGCATGAACAATGATCTCGACATCCAGCCGTTCTGGTCACATCGAGGACATGAAGGCACTGTGACATCATTGGCAGCCTGCCCCGCTTCTGCTCATTTCGCTACGGGCGGAAGAGTCTCTGGCGATGGCTGGATATTCTCTGGTGGTCAAGACGCTACGATCCGCGTATGGGAACGAGGCCGAGTCGATCCCAAGGCCACCCTGGAAGGGCACACAGATGCTGTCTGGACTGTATGCGTTCTTCCGACCAACTGTGCTAATCTCTTTGGCGCGGATAGTAGCAAGTATGGAGGACCGGACCGCGTCATACTTGCTTCTGGGTCTGCTGACGGCACTATCAAAATCTGGGCTGTAAGTGCGCCGCCTCAGCTGGTCTCACCGCAGACGGGATCTCGACGTGGTGTTGGTGGTAGCCGAAGACATTCCGTCACATCTGGCTCGCATCACCCATCCTCACCGCAGCCCAGCATTGCTACTACGACACCATTCCATCACACGTTGATACATACTATCGAGCGCGACACGCATCCTTCGCCTACTTGTATCAGCCCGCTATCACCCACTGGAGAGAACTTTGTTGTCTCATTCTCCGACGCATCTATATTGGTGTACGACACGAGGACCGGCGAGGAATTGATTGGTATGGCTAGCAATGAGTCATATGACGGCACTCCAGCGACTGGTATTACATCAGTCGTGACAAGTTCCCAATACCTTGAAGGCTCGTCACAAGAGGCGGGTCGCGGTGGTCCTGACGAGGAAGGTATACACGGCCCGACGGGATCTGCCAATGGCGGTCTCGAAGGTGTTGTAATCAGTGGGCACGAAGACCATCTCATCCGGTTCTTCGATGCCAACTCAGGTACGTTTTGCAATATCAAGAAATACATCCTCGCTAATCAACAATAGGACAATGTACATACAGCATGCTTGCACATCCTGCAGCTATCTCTTCGTTGTCGCTCAGCAAAGACGGCCGGGAAGCCGTCTCCGCTGGCCACGACGCTTCCATTCGTTTTTGGTCCCTTGACAAGCGCATCTGCACACAGGAGATCACCGCGCATCGTATCATGCGTGGCGAAGGTGTGTGCAGCGTAGTTTGGAGTCAGGACGGTCGCCTTGTCGTCTCAGCAGGTGGCGACGGCATAGTGAAGGTATTTGCAAGGTAGTATCCTGCAGAGCCACCAACTACGACTTCTCCTCGCATTTCTGAGCCTCCGTTTCGCATGAACTATTGGCATTTTTAGCTGGACATACCCCTGGATTTTGATCGAAATGGGAAAGGGAAAGCATGATTGATGGGTATTCTGATGGTGGGATGGTAATTTTTCGTTACTTCTCAACGCGCCTTTGGTAGACAGGCATTCGCTGGCGCCGTGTGTTATGTTGACTCCGCTGCCTTGTATTATACAATTGGGATGATCGAGCTCAGCGGGAGACACGCAAGAGCCAGCAAGTCAGTAATCCGACTTTCTCTAATATCTGGCAGCGTGACTATGTGCGCTCTGCCTAGACATATGACCCCGGTTCAATGCCTACCTAGTAGACACTGGAATGTAGCCGTGACGTATTGATGTCCTGGCCGCGGGGGATCTGTGCACAGAGGGCCCCCGTATTTTGGGCAGGCGCGAACATGGATGCCTAAGCTGAGCTCTGAGCTGAAGCATACTTCTTTCGACCCCCACCATTTGTGATCGCTTGGAATGCTGCGTCTTCTCTTTCGCGCGCGTTGATTGCTTACCCTGGTGTCATTAGACACGCGTGGACATGTCTGGTATAATCGGTGCTGTATGTTCCTGCCATTTCTAAGCGCGTCAACAGGCTCCGGGAAACTTCCCAGGTTTATGGTACCAAGCTAATGCACCTACTACCACCATAGCTCGTCGCTCTGCCCCAGAGCATCCAGTCTGCAAAAGAACTTTACGACTTGCGCCTCAAATACAAAGATGCCTCGGTTCTCATTACCGCGATATACTCCGAGTCCATGGTCATTGCAGCGTCATTGTCTCAAGTCCAAAGCCTCCTCCAACATGACGCGCTACGGGAGAAGCCCCAGCTGCTCGAGACCTTCGATCGTGCGCTTACGGGATGTCGAGTCGTATACGGGTGCCTAGAAGAGGAGGTACGCGACTTGAGAGTGAAGGCGGAGAACGACAACCTGAAGTTCAAAGACAAAGCGAAGTTTGTGTTCAAGGAAGAGACCTTCAAAGAGCTGCTCACCCAGATCCGTGGCCAGCAGTCAGCGCTCAGTTTGCTGATACAAGGATTGCAGATGGAGTCAATTGCGGATATCAAGAAGCTGGTTGAGGATAATAGTGTGACACTCGATCAGGTTGTAAAGCGGTCGAGGACTCTACGGCAGTCGCACCCGAAACTGAAGGTACCGGAGTCGTTGTTCGATCGGAAAGGTCTCGGCGACAATGAGGCTGATGTAGAGTCTATCACGAAAGCTACGGAGTTTACGTTCGATGATGAGGTTGTCAACTCGAAAGCGTATCGTAGGGCTATGGCAATAGCCATGTCTACTTCACGCTACGAGATCGATGCGTCTGAGGAGACAGGTACTGCGATACCAGAAGACAATTCGATCGCTCTCGAGACGACGCCTCCCAGTGTACTGAAGTCGGAAACAGAGAGAGAACCATCCCCTCAGGCCACAACGACGAATGAACACGCAGATTTGTTCGACACCCTTGAGCGCGACATACTATCCTTTATGCCGCAAACCTCATCCACGACACTTTGCTTGACCCCCAACCACACAGGGTCTAAGAGTCCTTCTTCGCTACCAAATGATCCTTACGGCTCATTGACTCCGGCGCCGCTGCGATCATTCAGTGGAGACAGCGGAATGGGGATTTCAGAAGCTGCGCCTCCGTTGCCTCCTCGCCGCCCAAGTGAGCAGCATGTCGCAACGCCCCAGATGCGCTCAGTATCTTCTGATGATAGCATGTTTTCCTCCATCGCACCATCGATTTTATCAAAAGCGTCCACAGGATCGTCTTACACCGTGTACGAAACTCCACCGTTAAGCCCTAATTCGACCGGCATACCTTCGCGAAAGCCCCTGCCCTTCATGCATAAGCCATCTTACAACGCTCAAGGTAACACCACGCGTGGTATGGACGAAGTTGCAGCAGCTGGGGCATCGTTACCCTTGTACAATGTCGAAATGCACAGTATCTGGATGTCACTGGCCGAAGCCGAGAGGAAGTTTATTGACCGCATAATGAGACTGAAGCGAATGTTCTACGATAATATCATAAAGCAATGGCCGGTCCTTGAGAAGCATATGGATGCTATCCTTATCGGCGAGCAACTTGCGACACTTCATCAGCAGTATCTGCTCCAGGCGATGGACCGTGATCTCGCTGGCAGTACTAATGCCCTCTGCAATCCATACATGATCGATATCTGGGTAGAGAAGAGTCAACAACTGTATCGAGAATACTGTCGCAAGATGCCGCATGCGGCCTCCTCACTACGAACGACACAGAACTTGGACCCGAAGTTTACACCTTTTGTCAACACACTTGGTCTGAGTATCGCTTATTTTGGTAAGAGCTGGCAAGACTATCTGGAGCTTCCTCAGGTACAGATGCAGAGTTATATCGACAGTCTGCAGAGGCTTGTCAACATCGCGGACTCCCTCAATGACCCGACAGCAAACCAGGAGGCTATGCGTTTACGCCGTGCTCTACAGGCCGTCACTTGGCTGAAAACATCCATCTCGACCTTACTAGATGAAGCTCAGGCTCGTGAAGATGTACAGAATCTCCAGAGGCGTATCCGCACAGATGCGCTAACGTTTGCGCAACTGCGTCTGCACGAACCTGCCCGTCGCGTCATTCACCAAGGCGGCATGGCGATGAAGTTCAAGAGCCAGGGACCTTGGATTCCAGTACACGCCATGTTGCTCGATAATTACTTCATATGGGGCAAAGCTAAGAAGAGCAAAGGCGATGAGGTTCTGATAACGGACCCACCTATCGCGGTCGCCGACATGGATCTGTCCCTTCCCACAGACGCATACCAGTTTCAGAAGGCTACCATGCTCGACCAGATAGCAAGGGGCTCAGTCGTGTAAGTCTGGTGTCTACCCATGACGTTGCTGAGCTGACTGATCACTAGATACATCATCACAATCAACAACAAAGCCCAGCCAGGCAAACCCAGTCTGCTAGGCCTGTACGGCTTCCCGGAAAGGAGAGACTGGTTTGATCATTTCACTGCAGCTGGGACTAAGTTTCAGAGGTGAATTACGTCGTTGTTCTGGGCTCTCAGATACTTGGTCATGGCGCAGGGCCGTTCGCGGCCATTGAGGGGATAGACCTCATGATCGATCCGCTGTCGGTAATGGTCACTGTCGCTGGTGCACGTATAGTGTGGTATAGGATAACAAGTCCGACCTACGCCTGCCTGTTGATCAGCAGGCTTGCTCGAGGGTTGAGTTGTCGTGCCGACCCCGCTCACTTAGGCAATATCCCGCGGACTCTCGACGTGAGTCACTGTCGCTGGTGCATGCACAGAGTGGTATAGTCGAACAAACTTGACGCAGGCTTTATCTGGTGACCAGAAGACTCCCCCGAGGGCGTAGCCGTTCGTACTGACCCCGCACACAGGGGCGATACTGAACGGACTCTCGACGAGCTACAGCACTCAGCTCTGGCGCTTCACTACACCGTACACAACAACCACTGTGCCTTATAAGCCGTGCTCCAACCGTCCCCCGCCACACACACCTGGCGCCCTTTCTGGCTATATACACCAATTGCGAACATGTCAGATATGCAAGAAGACGAGCCTATTGACGCGCGCCATCCTCCTTTCCCGGACGGGCTCTCTCCAGATAGCGTCGTCGGAATTATCACAGTTCACGACCCCAAAGCTTTCCACGCAAACCACAACACAGCCTATAGGAAGTCGCGTTTGAGGTCTCCACGAGCCGGCGGCGAGTGGTCCTTAGACGGCTGCCATGTCTTTCTTCATCTCGTTCAACGTCAACCCTGCTACACCATAGGCCTGTCCAACCTCGAGAGCCTGAAGCCTCCGGCTTGCGATGTGTACCTCCCTGACAATGGGGCCGACCTGCTTCTGTTCGGAATCGTACCGGTTTGGAAGAACAACAGCTGGCGATTGCAGTCCGCTTCTGAGACTATCACGGAGGTTAACGGTGCGCCCATTCAGTTCAGCGATCCGCATGCACAAAACCAGTTTCCACAAGCGATCTATCTGCGGCAGAACTCAGTCAACCACGTTTTCGTCAATGGCTTGCGAGTCGACATCTTCATGTTAAAGGCAGTACGAGAACTCTACGCGATGGAAACAGCATTCTTGCCGTCAGAGCTGCATCCCCACCTACAAGACGTCACTCATCGCCCCGAAGCTTGGGCGCAAACTCGCTACCTGCCGCTATCTGAACAAGTCTCCGCGAACACCTGCCGGGTTCTCGAACGCTTTACAGGCAAGATCGAGACAGCGAAATCCTTCCGCCGTGCGGGAAACCGCCGCGAACTTCGGGATGCTGAGTTTCTCAAGTTTGGCAAGACTAAAGTCGATGTATCCGTAGTTCGTTACTTGCAGTCTCTCGACATTAACCACATCCCCGCTGTCATTACCGAGACGCATGAGGGCTTCATGACATACGCGGCTCTCGAAGAGGACATCAAGAAGCAACATCCGCGCGTGCGCTTCTCAATCGCTTCGAAGCTCTCGCGGCGACTGTTATCAGCCCTCGCCTTCTTGCATTTCCACAAGATCGTTCACGAAAACGTCACCAAAGAGGGTGTCTTGCTTCGCCTAGGGGACTACAAGCCCGAAGCTGTGCTCTTAGTCGACTATACGAGGGCAACGTCGTTCCCTGCTGGCATACCTGAACCTCTGGAGAAGATGATCGAGGACGGTCGCGCCGCGATGGAGATTGTCGAGAGCTGCTGCGATATCTGGCAACTGCGGAAGGCACCACCGAAAGATGCCTTCGGCGAAGCCTTCATGGCGAAGAAGACCGAGGTTGCTCGCCAAGAATCCGCTCTCATGGAGCGCGTCGTCGCCGACTTCTTCGGACCGAAAGGCAAATCGCGAGAGTCTGAAAAGGGCAAGAAGATGCTCAACTTGGTGCAAAAGAAGCGAGACGACTGGCATTCTGCTCGAAACGCTCAGATCCACAATGCGACCCGCCGTGAGGTAGGGCTATGCCGCTCTGATATGATCAAAAAGATGGAGCATGAGTGGTCACTCCTGCATCCATTTCCAAAGATCGGCGAAGAGCAGCATATGATATTGACTCTGGGGCATCCATACCTAGACGGCCTGGCTACGAAACTCTACCACAATCAATGGGACCTGCCCCCGCGGGATGTGTGCACCAAGATCCAACAACTTGCCGGCGAGGTGGAAGAACCCTGGCAGACCTTCGCAGTCAAGCGAACAGTGCCATTGACACAGGTCGAGGGTGGCTTCGAAGAGCGTTGCTTCTTGCACTGGCTAGCGAGCTGTTGCGAAGCCTACCCAGAGTGGCGTCACGCGATTGTTGAGGAGTACGAGCGCCTCGTCGCACCCCAGCACGGAGTGATTGTCTTTGCAGATATCAAGAAGCTTCGAGGTGCTCTTGCGGGTCTAGGTACCATGCCGGAGGTCCTACACGCCACATTCACGCGTTTGTCCAGTGAGATCAAGACCCAGCCTACTACGAACATCGAAGAGGTGCACAAGATCTGGTATCACCTGCCCTCACGAATGTTCAATCTGACCCAACTACATCGCCTGGCAACTCCTGGTCGCCTTGTCGCCTGCATCAATGAGGGCGACACAGATTGTAATGACTGGGTAGAAGTACGCGGAGAGCCCAAGCTAGAGGGTCATTACGCCACCCTGTCCTTGTTGTCGGACTTTGCGAAGCAACTAGGACTGACAGCCGAGGACTATCGTCTTACGCAAGACTTCCCTCCATATGATCCAGCGGACTTCAGCCGGGTTATACAGCGCGTCGTCCTTGCTCACACTGGTCTTCTTCCCTGGGCATCTGTCACTCGCAAGGGCGCCCAGTTCAACTTCCATGCACCCGATATTGCCCGCGACTACGAGAGTGCTGGGGCGTTTTTATCTACTTATTTTGGCGGTATGAAGATGTTGCCCACGATGCCACACGGTAGTGAATTCTATGAGCGCCCTGGTCACTGGTCAAACTTCAAGACTGGAAGGGAAATCGATGAGGCAATGGAAGTGGACAAGCGACCCATTCTGCCTGCGAAGGGTCAGTTGAAGAAGTCGGCATCGCAGTCGATGAAGCCGCTTCAGGTTTTGTCGCCGCATGTTGATCGTGCTCGCCTCTCTCAGACGCTGGAGACTCGCAAGCGTGCTCGTGCTAGGGCTCGACCTCTAGGTAAACGCGATGCAGACAACGAAGTATCGGGCACAGCCATGCAGGCCGCGAAGCGTCCACATCTTCTTCTCAGTGCCCAAGTCTCCCATCAGCCCAATGCACCACCAGCGGAGGAGCCCCGGCCTACTACCTCGTTGACGGACCGTGATCTGGACAAAACCATTGCCAACCTGGAACGCCAGTTCTCATCTGGTGAACCGCTCCCTCAAGTCTCACACGTGCCAGACACGTCGTTCTTCACACGAAACAACGGAGTAAACACCAATGTCCTTAGCAGCCCGCCTGCTATCTCAGCAATTGAACAGGGAACATTCACTATCGTATCCGATGACGAAGTCAACTTAGACGAAGACTACAAGCAAGCAGAAGATTGGCTGAAGCATATGGAGGAAGACGATGCGCCTCGAGATTCCGGTATCTTCGGTCTCAATTTCCACCATACCTTCCGTGAGCAGGGTGATGAACTGGATGCTGAAGGAGACGAGTCAGGTGATGAAGATGGTGGTGGAGCGACGCCGGTTACCAGTGACAAGGCGAAACAGAAGGACCCGCCGGCACCCAAGCTCAAAGACAACAGCGCGTTTGCAGCCGGCTTGAATGCGATGGCGCCAATGCGAGGTATGAGCAATGCACAGGCAGTCTCACAGTCCTTTCCCATGTTCCAATCGGCGCCCAAGCAGAGCAGTCCTCCTTTCGCTCGACCAGCTTTCCTGGCTACCCTCCGTGCCGAGTCTGGAGCTCACCGTCGCAACGATATCTCCATTTCGGATCTCGCCAACGTGAGTTTCAGGATTGATCCTGCGCGCTCAGATCCTCCACCACCGGCAAAGGGTGTGAGGGGATCTGAGCAATCGCCGCCGCCGTCAGCCCAGCCACAGCGTGTGGATGAGTCGTTTGGATCTGACGTTTCTGTTCCGAACTGGAGGATAACAGGAGAATGCAAGGACAGTGAGGAAGAAGAGGAAGAAGATGGAGAACTGAAAGACTGTCAACCAGGCGAGCGGCTTAGTCAGGGTGAGTCACCAGGCACGCAACCGGGAGAGCCTTCTAGTCAGGATGAGCCGCCAGCCACGGGACAAGACGAGGCTCTACCAGCCACGCAACCAGGACGAGACATCTCCGGTCAGTACGACGCTCTACAAGACGCACAGCCAGGAGAATTGGCCCGTCTGCATGGACTACCAGACACCCAACCAGGAGGTCAGTCAAGTAGCGTAGAACAGCATCCCGATCAAGGCGATGATCCATGGAGCCAGCCACCAGTAGGGTGGGATGGTCGGAGTCCCTACTCGTCGTTCTACCCACCACCATGGAAACGATAGATTGACAACCGGACAGCAGAAGGAGGACATGGGTACACAAATTCACGGCAAGAGAATAGCGATTACATGTAGGATATAGAGGTTATAAATTTGAATTTTATTAAATACACGAATATTTCTAGCTTAAACGCTTTCTTCTACAAGTAAATTTACAAAAAAACAGGCCCTCTGCCTACTTGCAGGTTATAAAAAGCTTAACTAATAGTCTTAGGCCTTTTAGCCTAGAGATAAGCTATAAACAAAAAAATTATTAAATTACTAGAAGATACTTCTATAATAAGAACTATAAAACTCTATAAGCTCTTTTAAGCCTAAAGATATAACTAAAGCTATAGAATTTAGTTATAGTAGTAAGAGAAGAGTCTATAAATACACCTTATATTAAAATACTACTATTCTAATCTTTACTTCTTTCTCTCTTATACTATATTGTCTAGAACTCTAAGTTAGTACTCTTTTATATCTTACTACTTTTACTAACTCTAAAGCTTTAAAATAACTATATTTAATAATATTTACTTTATTCTTCTTTTTTTTATTAATGCTTTTAGTAGTTCTAAGACTATATTAATAGAAGGCGTTGTACCTCTAAGTAGATATATTAATAATAAGGTCTTTAAGCTAAGCCTTCTTTATATAGTTAAGCTAACTAAGAATATAAGCGTAGTTATTTTATAGTAGAGTATAACTAACTACCTACTCTATACTAATAGTAAGACGTTTTAAGTTAAGACTAACTACTAAAGAGCTCTTTAAATAATACTACTAAGTTATATAATTCTTTTAGACGTAATTAAGATTAATAATAGTAATTTAGTACTAGTAAGTCTATATATTAGTTAATAAATAGACGTAATTATAAGAATGCTAGTAAGAGTTAGGCTAGATATTTAGATACTAGTAGGTAAAAAGGCGTTTATAAATAAGCTATTTAGTAATAAGAACCTTGCTTAGATATTAAGAGTATTAAGTAAGATTACTCTGTTTTTAAAAGTTAAGCGCGTATAGAGTTAAGTATAGTAGTAGTAGCAGTAAATAATAGATAATAAGGTTAGCTTTAGTAGGCTTACTATCTTGTAATATATATTGCTGCTAAAAAGAAATAAGTTGTTAAATTTAACGAAATTAGAACGAATAATAGACAACATTACCCTAATACTAGAGTATTAATGCAATGCGACTATATAGAGGTCATAGTAGCATCATGTGTTCGAGCGGCGTCTCGCTACATGTCAATTGGCCTTACGAAGTTACGAAGGAATGATGGTAGATACCCAGGGTGTAGTGCAATACGATAAAACCCAAGCCTTGTTCTGGTGCTATCGTGACGTGTCGCGTGCTCATGACATGCTGGACTAGGTGGTGTTAGAGAGCTCGATTATGTAGACCCTGACTAGTCAGGTATCGATAGGCCTTGTACGGTTTTGTAGTATTTGTCATCGTCTGTAGTCATGCGACCAAGGGTGTCGTTGACGAATGGTATAGCGATCGCGCGACGGGTGGGTAGGGCTTGTAGCAGCGTTGCGTAAGATAGTCTACACAGTTAGCAGCACATCGTCGTACGTTGCGAGCTCTCGCAACAACCCCATCTCCACGACATCACGCCAATGCACCCAGTGACTTTGAACATGTATGATTGATCTTGTCAGGAATCTTGATTGAAAAGTGCCATTGTTATGGACTTTCAGGACATCAACATTCACACCGTCGCACCCAGCCCGAACAAGTTGCCGTTGTGTATGGGAAAGACTGTGCATGTGTGTCTCCCCAAAGATAACTGAATTGTTCTCGAATCTGCTTCCGTGCCCGGTATAATATTGCGCCTGAGGTGATCCATCAACTACCATTGCCTTATTTTTCGACCGCTTTCATTCCCGTTCTCGCCAAAAAATGCGTGTGTCGGAGAAGCTTATATCGAAGAAGGGTACAGCATGACGCGGACGGAGGCACCGAAGGACTTGGGAGGCAGGTTGTTCTTGAACTTGGCGCGGACGACGCCGGAGTTGCCGTGGGGGCGGGTGACCTTGCCCTGTTTGTTTGGGTTAGCTTCTTGTCTTTTTGGTGGAATACGGGCGGTGGGATGGGAATTCGTACCCAGATGACACGGATCTTGGAGCCTTGGATCGCCCGTTGTGCGCGGTAGACGTAGGCTACCCTCTTGCCAGCGTCTGTCAGAGGTACGTTAGCTATCAAAATTCGAGCGTCGGGGGGACACGCGGAGCGCGGAGACGTACACCACTGAGCTGCCTTGACATCGTCGACGCCCTCAAGCTTGAGCAGAGAGGTTCCGGGGTTGGTGTTCCTCTGCGGTTATCGTCAGAAGGGGGAGCGTCAATACGCGAATTCGGTGCGCACAAACCTTGCCGCGCTGGTAGCTGATGTGCTTGCCCTTGACGTAAAGGCGGTGGGACTTGTTGTCGGCAGACATGGCGAATTTTTTGGGCGGCCTCGGGGGGGTGAAGGGGACGTCTGGGTCGGGGTTGATGCTGTCGTTAGTACAGAGAAGTCGTCGTTGCCAAAGAGAAAGACGAATTGCTTCATGTCCAGTGGGGCGTTCTCGCTTACTAGCGCCACACCAGCCACTGCTTGTGTGGCGCAACGCTGCCGTTGCCTCGCCGCAGGCAGTCGCGAAGAACACCAACACTGCAATCTTGGAATATGTGTTTTGGGATCAATGAGTCTTCCGGAAGTATCAATTGGATGTCATGGATGCACATTGAGGTTTTGATAGCAAAGACGCTGCGTTGCACGCAGGTCGGAATATGGATGTGTCTGCGCTTCCTCACTGGCATCATCACCGTTCTTTGACAGTAGAAGCAGTCAGACGACTGGCAATACCTTTGGACGAAATGCGCTCGAATTCACGTCTTCAACATGGTCACAGTATGTAGGGTCATGGTGAAGGCACAACTCCTCCCGATGTTCCGCGGCAACGCTTATGCTCGTCCCAGCCCCCTCTTGCTCGTTCGGGCTTTCTCTTGCAGCGGATGTGTAAGCATGGCGGTTCACTATCAGTCTAGCAATACGCCTGGGCATGTTCCATCGTCTGACTGACCAGCCTTCGCGTGTCGCACGTCGCCCTGAGGACCATGCGTCATCGGTCCGGCCAGGCCAGGTGTGGTTCACTCATCATGTCACGGCCTGGGAGAACCCAAATAGCCAACGGCAAAATTCTCACGTCGCCATCACGTCTCCCGCGCTCACACGTCACGTACAGTCCATTGTTGGGAAGCCAGCACGCCAACATGGCTGCAAGTCTTCCATTGCGACGCGCCCCACCAGGCTGCTAGCTTACCAGTGCTGGCCGCTCGGTATACTCAAAGAGGGGCCGGAGGATTTGACAGACCCAAGTACCAGCCCGCGACACTGAGACGGCCAATGCTTGTGTACACTCTAATAGAATTTACACATCGTCCGGACTCGGGCAACCTCGCAGCGGGGTAGCCGTCCACGAGCTGGGCGTGCCTCGCGCGCTGTGACGGTTGTGAGACGTGACCACAGTCTTGGGACACACTTATAGAATGAGAAACAAAGTTTAAGAGCCTCAAAGTCTATCCCTTCCCAGCCGAGCGTGGACGAAGCCGTTCCACGCGCAATGCATGGCGATGGTGGGGTTGTCCGCGAATCCCTAGGTACGGCTTTAGCAAGGTCTCCTCCGGCGGGCTTCAAGGGTTTTGACTGGTGCCGGAGAAGCTTTGCAAGACGTGCGGCCGCTTAGTGATGCTTGGAGAATGACCTAGTTGTTTATCGATGCCTTTTTAAAGACGTCAGTCCGCGCCGTGTGTTTCTGTGAAGCATTCTTGTCTGAGACCCTATCACCGGCGTTCGAGCGGCAAATTAAAGCTAACCAACGTCACCACCACGCGAAACCGCTAGAGCAGCTCCGATAACCCCACTACATAGGACTTTTCCTCACACATCCACGTCCTATCCGTAGCTTCCGCCCTTACTTCGAGATCTCTTGTGTTACCCTATTGCCCTCACCCACTGCAGCCCTTAATTGAGCTGTAACCTTGCGCCCGCTCCTCCCCCAAAGCGTTTACATCACACATCAACACAATGGCGGACACAGTTATCCAGCCCAAGCATGAGGAGGTCAATGCCGGGTAGGTCGCCCTCACCGCCCCTGATCGATCTTATACAGCCTTTTACGAGCCGTCTGAATATGTCATCAATTTATCCGGCCGTTGTTTTCTGCTCAAGCGCCTCGCGCTCCTCGGCGGAGGGGTTGGTCGATGCGCGAAACCGATCAACGCCTTTAGCATTTTGAGCACCACAGCTAACCAGATCTCGCGATAGAAACATGGAGCTCAAGGACAACACCATCATTGTTGTTTTGGGCGCCTCCGGTGACCTCGCGAAGAAGAAGACCGTACGTAAAGAAGCAAGCATGCGAGCAAACATCAGACTAACATCATACCAGTTCCCAGCCCTCTTCGGCCTCGTAGGTTGCACGATACAGATCGACATGCGCATTCTCTGACCACCAGCACAGCACCGAAACAACTTCCTCCCCAAGAACATCCACATCGTCGGATATGCACGCACAAAGATGGACCGCGAGGAGTACCTCAAGCGCGTCAAGTCGTACATCAAGACCCCCACAAAAGAACTGGAGAAGCAGTTGGACGAATTCTGCGAGTTCTGCTCGTACGTCTCTGGCCAATACGACCAGGACGAATCCTTCGTCGGACTTGAGAAGCACATGCAGGAGATCGAGAAGGGCCGCAAGGAGAACAACAGGATATTCTACATGGCTCTCCCTCCCAGCGTCTTCATCACAGTTTCCCAGCACCTGAAGCGCAACTGCTACCCCAAGAACGGCATTTCTCGCGTCATCGTAAGTCGCTCTTGTGCAACCCTCCGGACACACGCAGCTAACCGCTGTCGCACAGGTCGAGAAGCCATTCGGCAAGGACCTCCCAAGTTCAAGAGAGCTGCAGAAGGCATTGGCTCCTGACTGGACTGAAGATGAGCTTTACCGAATTGACCACTACCTG